TCTATCTGAAACTACAGGCCTAAAGAGGAGGATTCACTGAACAAGAAGGGATCAGCAGCAGCCTCCCTGGGACTAGAGGGCCTCTGCATGCAGGATCCCATGTCTACTTCAGATCTGGGCTCAAGGAACTGCTGTTTGGAACCATAATTCGGACAGGAGACGAGAACTGGCAGGGACTTGGGGCTGTCACGGGCCTTTCAAGAGCACCCTGACCCTCTCAGGCCCACCATCTGAGCAGAGGGCAGCCTGGGCTTCCCACATACTTACAAAAGGAAAGAGCATCCTCCCCCACTCACCCCGGGGTACCATAAGCTGCATCCCCAATTTCAGAGCCCCGTAGGCCAGCTGGCTCCCTAAGGTCTGTGAGGGACCCATTTTAAAGGAACCTGGCACTTGCCTGGCGCACTGCAGTCCATGGGGTCACAAAGAGTCGGACTGAGTGACTGAACTGAACTGGCGCTTGCCTAGGGCAGCTGCACGCCCCCCCCCCACGCCCCCACCCCCAGCCTTTCCTGCCCCTGCTCCTCCGGGGGAGGGAGTCCAGAGGGCCGGCGCTGCAGTTCTGCCGGGTTCCCTGCGGCTCCTCCCCGTGGGGGCGAACACAACACCGAGTTTGTGCCACATTGCGGCCCACACCTGCTGTATTCCCCTCTGCGAAGCCAGAGCTTCGGCTAGGTAAGCGGTGGGAGGTGGAGAGGCAGAACTGCAGGAGGGGGCAAGCCGGCGGAGAGGGCAACGAAAGGGTCTGCAGGTTCTGTCTGGCAGCATCATATAATAATAGCAACACGTCTCCCACGCGGCTGGATCCCTTCTCCGGCCTGGGATAGCTGCTATTGATTGTTTCCTCCTTGGCTTACTTATGGTTGGCAGGAGTCTCTCACGACCGCTCCTCAACTCTGGTCCCCGGTTCCCCGGCCCGCCGCCGCACCCAGCTCAGCCCTCCGCGAGGTTCTGGTTAGTAAGCTGAGCTCTGCCAAAGGATGGGGTGCTTTCCTCGCGGGGAGGGGGCCCAGGCCCGGGGGCCTCACTGAGCGGACAGCCGGGTGGCAGCACCTCACCGCCTCGAGCCCCCGCCGGCCCCTTTAATTCGAGTCCGCCGGCGGCCAGGTGCGGCGCTGCGTGGCGCGGTGCGGCGCGGTGCGGCTGCGGGCGGCGGCCGGGTGCTCGGTACGCGCCGCCCGCGGGACTGCAGAGCCGGCTCCGGCTGGCCGTCCGCACGCCGCCTCCTGCGGTCATCCAGAAATATGGAGGCTCCGGGTGCCCATCGGGAAGGGTAAATGGGTGTCGGGGCGCTCGGCTGCGCGTGCTGCCGCCCCCCTGTCCGGGCTGCGGGGCACCGGGCGGCATAGCCTGCAGCGCGGCGGGCTCGGGCTCAGTCCGGGGCGGGCGAGCCTGGGCCGGACCGAGCCGGGGCGGGCGATGTGGGGCTGGAGCCCAGAGGAAGGAGAGAACTGGGAAAGGGCTCGGGGACCCTCTGGGCAGTGCCGGGCGCGCGGGGCGGAGGGCGCAGAGAGGAGCTGGCGGGTGATGGGAAGCGCAGCTGACATAACCATGTCTGGTAAATAGCGCTGGTTGGTAGGACCCGAATCACTTGGGACCGCCCGGCGGCATTCCCCTCTTCTGCTCGGAACGAAAACGGCTTTGCGGCAGAGAAGGGGTTTTCCGTTTCCCTGGGGCCGTGGGCGGCCGGGGACCCCCGCTCTTAGGGGAAAGCCAAGATCTGGGGCAGCATCCTACTCCCCACCCCCAGAGTTTAGGTTCCAGTGTTTTCCGGAGGGAGGTGGAGCCTCGGCGGTCCCTTGGACCCTAGGGGCAAAAGAGCTGGGCTGTGCTCGGGCCCCACGGCTAGAGCCCCCCTCCAGACCGGGCAGGAGGGGGTTAAGGTGGAGCTGGCTGCAGCGGCCAGCTGGTGGGTCAGGTCCACCCGCGCGGAGCTGAGCGCGGAGCGCGCGGGGAGGAATCCCTGCCGGAGCCCGGAGCGATGGGGAGAGGGCCCGGACCCCTCCCCGCCCTGAGGCCGGCGGGATTGGGCCGGCAGGGGGCCAGCCCGGAAGCTGGCTTCCTCTAGGCTCCCCCTCTAGCTGCTGCCAAGCTGCCTCGCAGCCAGGCTGACCGAGACTTGGTCTGCACTTACTGCCCAGGAGACATGAGGGGTTTTCTCTTGGGGAGAAATAGGTGGTCGAGCGCTGCCCGGTTCGAATGCCACCCTGCCGGAGGGAGGCCTGCAGTGTAGGGATCCCTGAGGGAGAGGAAGTCCTGGGACCAAGGAAACCAGCTTTTGGAGATCGACCTTTCTGTGTGAGAAGTCTCCCTGGATGAGCTCTGGAGGAGTGTGTGTTGGGGGTAGCCAGGCTGGGGAGGAGCGGTTCTTCCTCCAGGACTCTGCAGAGGTCAGAGCTGGGAGTGGGGCTGCAGTGTAGGAAGCTCTCCCCTTGGGAGATGCTGTGTCCTGACCTCGGGATGAGAGGGCTTTGCCCAGAGTCCCTCCTGATGGCTGCGGAGGACCAATGGCGAACCTGGCTGAGCCAGGGGAGGCCCCTGGAGGAGACAGGCCCAGCCAAGTCTAAAGGCTTGTTCCCTGGGAGAAAATGCTTCCAATGGATGGAAGCCTGCCCAGAAGAGGCTAGGAGACTGAGGGATAGTTCTCAGGTATGACACCAGAATGGAAAATGGGCATGGAAGAGAGCTGCCAGAGCTCTCCTGAATCTTGGCACCAGCTGCCCCAAAACTCTGATTCCACCTTGCTGCTGTTTTTTCCAGGCAACGTCACACCTCCTGAGGACAGCCAGGAGGACTCCGGCTTTTGCTGAGCATTGCATCTTACCTCCTTTCTTTCAAAGGCTCCAGATCCCAGCTTACCTGTCCTCGGGCTTACCTGTGCCCCGACCAGGCATCCCACTACCCCTCCAGCCCAGCGCAGCCCTAGAGCTCACCTCCAGGCCCTGGAGCCTGCCCTCCTGCCCAGAATGACTCACCATTATTTCTAGCTCAAGTGAGAAGACGTGATGGGGTGTCAGGCTGCCCATTTGTATATCTAGGATTCCTGAAGCATCGGATCAGCTCTGCAAGGAAGAGAGCTGCAGATTCGTGCCTTGCCAGGTAAATCAGTCTATTGTTTAATAACAGCCGTGTGTAGAGTCACTGGGGTGGGGGCAGTGAGAGAGACCCACCCAGGCCCAAGATTTGTCACTGCAAATACCTCTCAGGGTGCAGGGTTCTGCAAGGCATTAGTTTAGTGCCTGGGAGAGGGCTCGCTTCCAACCTCTTGTATGGGACTGTGCTCCATGAAGCCTGCCCAGTGCAGAGGGACCTATGTCAGCCCCCTGCCCCCAGCTCAGGGCATTCCAGAGCTTTCTTGAGCGACCATCACCTGCTCCTCTCTGATCCCCAGCTAAGGTAAACATAAATCTTACTTTTTTGTGATATTGGTGGTGGTAATGATGTTTTGAGTTTCTTGGCTGAGAGAAGAGAGAGAGGAAAAAAAAAAACAGCACCCCAGGTCGGGCTGCCAGTGCTGAGTGGTCTTATGTTCTTAACCGCCTCTGTCTTTCAGCCAAGCGAGGCTCTCTCTCCAGCTCTCAGGGAGCCCTGGGGGCTCTCCCGCTGGAACCCAGGCTGATGCCGCTGTGTTTCCTGGGGCCGTAAGCAGCATCCCGAGCTCCCGGCCACCAGGCAGCTAGAAGGCGCAGTGAGAGGCGCCTCTCCCAGTTCCAATTATGACAGTGGCCACCGGAGACCCAGCGGATGAGGCCGCTGCCCTCCCTGGGCACCCGCAGGATACCTATGACCCAGAAGCAGACCACGAATGCTGTGAGAGGGTGGTGATCAACATCTCGGGGCTGCGGTTTGAGACCCAGCTAAAGACATTAGCCCAGTTTCCAGAGACCCTCTTAGGGGACCCAAAGAAACGGATGAGATACTTTGATCCCCTCCGGAATGAGTACTTTTTCGATCGGAACCGCCCGAGCTTTGATGCCATTTTGTACTACTACCAGTCTGGGGGCCGGTTAAGGCGACCCGTGAATGTGCCCTTAGATATATTCTCTGAAGAAATTCGGTTTTATGAGCTGGGAGAAGAAGCAATGGAGATGTTTCGGGAAGATGAAGGCTACATCAAAGAGGAAGAGCGTCCTCTGCCTGAAAATGAATTTCAGAGACAGGTGTGGCTTCTCTTTGAATACCCAGAGAGCTCAGGGCCTGCCAGGATTATAGCTATTGTGTCTGTCATGGTGATCTTGATCTCAATCGTCAGCTTCTGCCTGGAGACGTTGCCCATATTCCGGGATGAGAATGAAGACATGCATGGCAGTGGAGTGACCTTCCATACCTACTCCAATAGCACCATCGGGTACCAGCAGTCCACTTCCTTCACTGACCCTTTCTTCATCGTAGAGACCCTCTGCATCATCTGGTTCTCCTTTGAGTTCTTGGTGAGGTTCTTTGCCTGTCCCAGTAAAGCCGGCTTCTTCACCAACATCATGAACATCATTGACATTGTGGCCATCATCCCCTACTTCATCACCCTGGGAACAGAGCTGGCTGAGAAGCCAGAGGATGCTCAGCAGGGTCAGCAGGCCATGTCACTGGCCATCCTTCGAGTCATCCGGTTGGTAAGAGTCTTTAGGATTTTCAAGTTGTCCAGACACTCCAAAGGTCTCCAGATTCTAGGTCAGACCCTCAAAGCCAGCATGAGAGAATTGGGCCTCCTAATATTCTTCCTCTTCATCGGGGTCATCCTTTTCTCTAGTGCTGTCTATTTCGCAGAGGCCGATGAAAGGGAGTCCCAGTTCCCAAGCATCCCGGATGCCTTCTGGTGGGCAGTCGTCTCCATGACAACTGTAGGCTATGGAGACATGGTTCCGACTACCATTGGGGGAAAGATCGTGGGTTCCCTGTGTGCAATTGCAGGTGTTTTAACCATTGCCTTACCGGTCCCTGTCATAGTGTCCAATTTCAACTACTTCTACCACCGGGAGACAGAGGGAGAGGAGCAGGCCCAGTACTTGCAAGTGACAAGCTGTCCAAAGATCCCATCCTCCCCAGACCTAAAGAAAAGTAGAAGTGCCTCTACCATTAGTAAGTCTGATTACATGGAGATCCAGGAGGGGGTAAACAACAGTAATGAGGACTTTAGAGAGGAAAACTTGAAAACAGCCAACTGCACTCTGGCTAATACAAACTATGTGAATATTACCAAAATGTTAACTGACGTGTGACTGAACCCTATTAACCTACTCACAGCTCAATGGAACTAATGCAGATATTGCATAATAGCCTGCATTGTAGTCAGTGCGTCCTACAGTGTGTATCTGGTTCTGCATGGAAAGCAATAGTCGTGCAAGTGACTTTTGATCTTTTGATTTTTGATTTAGAACACAGAATATCTATCCATGGCTTTCATGCAAATCTTCATCACCGGCTTAGGGGTTTCCAAAGATGGGAGTCACTTATGGAAACCAGGATTTCAGAAGGACACATTGAGGCCACCACATAGCAGATACAGAACCCATCACATCAGTGTCAGCTTTTCTTCCTAATGAAATGCACACAGCATCTCAGAGATGCAACTCCCCACCACTACCACCCTCACCCTCCCACCCCACCACCCCACTTGAGCCTACCTCCCCCTTCACAGAGAAAAACCATGGTGGCTTAGCCTTAAAGTTCTGGTAATTATTCAAAAGGTCATTCCCATTTTTGCATTGAAAAGAACACACAGTGCTGTGTGTTGGAATTACTTTCTGTGTCACAGGCTGGGGGTTTGTGAATTGCAGTTGCCAAGTAGATGCTCCGGAGGCTTGTGTTTCATAACGGAAAATGCTGCATTTGGTTTTTTTCTCTGCAGTGTCAAAGTGAGGGAACCCCGGGGGAGGGACAGTTAGGATGACCAAATGTGAGTTGTCAAGTTTCACATTTGCTCCCTTCGCCCTACAGGGAGAAGCTAACAAACCAAGGGACCTCTCAGCTTCAGATTTCACCATTTTTGCAGGCTTCAGGGTCACAAAAACATGTCTGATTTCTTCATTACACTGGAGTTTGCAGGCATCTGCTTTCTAGTGCTGTGGCCCAGCTACACTGACACTGCAGTGAAATCTACCAGTGATGCGATAGAGCTGCATGGGTGTTTGTTGCATGAATCTCAATATTTAAAACACAGGAGATAACCTATTTTCTTAATAGCCTACAGAGTATTCATATTTAGAGTATTAATAGCCTAGGAATGGCATTGAACTAGGGTTTTTTTTTTCCTTTCCCATCAGAAGACAAAAAGCCCTCAATCAAGAGAAAAAAAAATAGACTGTTTGGAGTGGGGAACCAAAACTTCTGGCCCTCTAGCCCACCCCCATCCCTGTTCTTCCAAGTGGGGGCACAGACCTCTGCAAAGCCAGGAGAGTAAGCAGGGAAAGCAGTGTCTAACACCTCACGTGACTGCAACTTAGGAATGAACCTGGTCATGGGCAAGACTCTACAGCTGACTGGGGCACGTTGTCCTGAGCACAGGCGGATCTGTGGATCCAGTGTATATACCTATGTATCAAGTGTCTCTTTCATGAGTTCCTCTCCCTAGCTAGCTATAGAAAAAATTGCATTTGAACCTTGTATAAGCTTATGCAATATTTTTGACACAGGGCAATATATGCATGTGTTTGACTATGCGCACTAGAGTGTATATAAACGCATATATATATATATTTATATATACATATATATACATACATACGTGTGTATATGTATATATGCACACACACACACACACACACACACACACACATATATATATATATAGTCATTCTCTGGAGTTCAGGTTCAGGAGCAAATCCACTGCTTGGTGGGTTGGTTGTCTTAGAGACCTAATGGGTTAATTTGTCTCATCGGTCAGCCCACTGGGCCTGGGTTTGCTGCCATTGCCTCCAACACTCCAGTCTTCATGGACTCTTAGATGTTCAAATTGTCTTTCTGCCCTTCATGTGCTGCAGCTTCAGTTTCCCATGGCTGAAGCTTGTCTTACCGAGTGCACAAGGGCCCCAGGGCCCTCACAGCTCCAGCTGTCCTGGGCCACACCCACCCCAGGCAGCCCCTCCACAGCCCATCACCTTTATCATCTCCATTCTCATTGTCCCTGACCTCTCTGGTTTTCATTTGAGACGTAGAATGTATTTAACTAATAGAGAACGTACACACGAGAACTACAAACACCATGTCAAAGACATAACCCACAACTCAGATGGAAAATACACAAAATGACATGATCATCTGGCTCTGCATCAGTCACTTCCATGAACCTTTCCCTAAAGAGCCAGAATGGATCACCTGCTTTGAAACCAAGGAAATGGAGGAGGAGGGATCCTGGGGCCCCAATTCCACAGGTCTAGGCTAAAAGGGAACCTCCTCTATGTGGAAATTTCTGAAGTTCAGGACAAAGAGATGGAGTCCCTAGTTGATCCACAGGCATCATTTTAATCACCAGGCTCAAGCTCTACCCCCCCCCCGCCCCCATTAAACTAGCAACCAGGGCTGCTTAAGCAACCAAAGGCTGGGTAAAGAATCATTCCCCACCCCTAGAGCAGGCTGAGAGTGAAGGCCAGACCACCTAAAGGGAGAGTTCTGGCTGACCGTGGAATAGGTGCAGATGGGGAAGCTTTTGCCTCACTAGGCTTCTTTGCCTTTCAACATCATTGCTTAAATTTCCCAAACACAGCGAGCCATGTGGTCAGGCTGCCAGTCGTCACTCCAGCCCTGGCCTCACTGTTAGCTCTTTAGCATCTACAGTTACCTTGGGGGGTGGGGCACCAGCCCAGGGTGCTCGCTAGTTCCTGGTCACCCACATCCCCAGGGGTCTACAGGGCATCCCAGGCCCGGCACAAAGCCTCCGTGCTTGTCTTCCTCTCCTTCATGGGAGATGGTGCTCTATTTCCAAGGCGTGGGATGGAGGGACGCAGACCTTGAAAAGACAAATGGTAAAATAACCTATACCTAATGCCTAGGTTGCATGGTAGATATTTTATCCCAGTGCCCTTGACCTGGGACTATAAAATGTTTACCCACACCGGCACACAGATATACACACCTGCCACAAAAGAAATCTACATTGTTACCATACACAGATACAAAATACTCACCACACAGGCAAAATACACAGAGACCAAATTAATGAAAAGGGTGTATTCAAAAGATATAAACTTATATCTGTATCCAAAATATGCACACTCAGCCCAAACATGGAATGTACGTATAGAATATACACGAAAGACCTACATGGTGTTTGCACACCATGTAAAAGACACAACCTGCAACTCGGATAAAAACCATCCAAAATGACATGGTCATACAGAGTGTACACAAATACCTGCATACACCATGTACAAAGACACAACTCAGATGCAAAATACACAAAAACAACATGGACACATGGGTATACATATGGAATACACCCAAGATAATTTACTATTGTTTGCACGCAAAATACACACAAACTCAGTTTACACACCCAATACATCTATTCATGTTAGGCACGCAAAATACAGCATACATACCCAAGAAATTACACACAAACACACACCTCAAATATACTGAGATCCATTCCTTTGCCTCCATATCTATAAATAGGCATAAACAAAAGATCAGATTTAATCACCTTTCCGTAGCCTGCATCTCTCCCCCTCGGTATCCTTCAAGAAATCTCTTCCACTAGTCTCTTTCCCTCTTACTCCCAGATTTCAGAAAAAATACCTCGAGGCTTAAAGCAAAAAGATGGGCCACCATGGTCAAGCAGATGTCTGGTTAAGACTGGGAATCTCATTGGGTTTCTACTTACTCACCTTCGTCCCACCAGAAACCCGGGTGCCAAGTGTGGAAGGACCTGGGACAACTGACAGCACATTAATATACACCTTCTGGCCATGCCCTTTCTTTCAAAGCAGATCCACACAGACAGTGCAATAGCCCAGCCTTCCCCGCTCCCAGCCCCTGGGTTCTCTGGATTCATCCCCATCCTCTTGAAAGCAGTGTTGGTTCAAAAATCTGCAGGGTCCTGGGCCCAGAATGACAGTGAGGATGCCCCCAACATTCTTTCAGCCCACAGATCTTACTGCTCCTCCAACCCCAGTGGCTTTGTCGGGGGCTGGGTCAGAGAGTCAAACCCTATATAGACTTTATCTCTTAAAACGATTCACCTTTACTTGATTGTGGCATCTCACTTGCTCTTGGGTGTAAGCCCAGTGGGGTCAACTCCTGAGACCCCCCCATGAGTGTGTCATCCCAGGCAGGCTTTTTCCCTTGCCCCAGCTCCACCTGGACACCTGTCTTCCATCTGATGGCTGTACCTTGAGGAAACACACACCAATTCAGCTTATGTAAAACTTGGTTAAGGATGTAGACCTAATGTTACACAAGCAAACAAGTCTTTTTTAGAAGGCCTGTTTCATATCCTATATCCTAAGGCCAGATTTAAATGCTTTGTAAGATTATGTGCTGTTTTGGGGTTACCCACAGAGCTGGCTCTTCCCACTAGTAGGACTAGCTGAGAACTAGTGTGTTTTGGCAAAGGCCTCACGTCAGATGGAAGTTGGGGAGTCGCAGTCAGGCATCAGATCGAAATCCGATCCTCAAGGCCTCTAGTCCTGCTGTCATCCAGGCTGTGTCCCACCTGCCCTCCTAAACATGGTCGCAGCTCCCCATCTCCAGGAAGGAAACAGCAGGGAGGGGTGTGTGGATGCATATTTGCACGCTTAGTGCAACGTGCTGGGCCTTTCAAGTGTTTTCAAGTCAAAATACCCATTTTCCCTTTAGCTTCAGCAGGTGCCTCCTTGGCTCAAACTTTCAAGGAAGTTGGAGTTCTCAGGAGTCTAAAGCGAAAGAGGTCCAGGTTGGGTGGAGAGGGTGTCAGGAAGAAAGGGTAACTGAGCTAGTCAGATTTCAGAGTCAACTTTTTAGGAGCTGAAATTTAGTTAAGGTCATAATGAAGGCTTTGTGCTTCCTGAAGCTTCTGTGGTGTTTGACATACCCTTCCTCTCTGCTTCCTCTGCCCCTCTCAGCTGGGCCTCGGAGGATGGAGTAGGCATGAAACCAGGAGGTCAGCCTTGAAAGGGGACCCCAAAGGAGCATGCCCCTAGACTTCATTGTCTTGATGTGGAAAGGGCTCCCAGGACAGACTTTTTGGCCTGAGCCTCCAGCCTGGGTGCTCGTGTGGCTGTGCCATGTGGGGAAGGCTGCAAGACTAGCTTGTCCTGTCTGCTCTCCCTGGATCTCTCGCTCCATTGTACTGGGTCTTTGGCCAACTTCCTCACTCATGGTCAGTCATAAAATGTCAGTAGCATCTTGATAGAGGATCAGGCTGGGGCTTCAGTGCGGCCCATGGTAGTGGAAAGGAGAGGCAGAGGCTGACTTTCCCCAAAGGAAACCATAGGATGGTTTGCAAATTGTATATGAGAGTTGTACCAGACCCCCATGGCAGGCAGGAGGAGAACACTGCTTTGAATTGTTTCCCCAGGAGTGGGGATGGTGAGCCCTGCTCCAGCTCTGGTTCTCCTGGAGCCCATTGCCATAACAGCCTCCATCCTGCTGATAGCTATCTTATCAGAGGGGACTGGTCCACATAGGCTATACTGTCCAGGGTGCTCCTTGGTTACACACTGGAGGCTCCCCCAGCCTTGGCAAAGTGTCCATTGGCAGATTTGAGCCCACAGCCTCAACCTCATTAACATCATTGGCCACCTGAGCCAACCAGCAGAGCGCTGGATGCTGGGAGGTGTCAAGATGGCTAGTGTGACCTTCATCTAGATCCGCAGACTTGGCCCTTATTGAAACCAGCCCTGTTCTCTCATCAGAGCAGCAAGCAGAGAGTGGTGGAGGTGAGGGATCCCCAGCAAGCTGGAATGAGTCTCTATCAAATGAACCTAGTTCACTTTTCCCTTCTTTCTGCTTCCCTTCCCACCAACGTTCAGCTCCATCTCTCATAGTTTATTTTTTAAAGAGGAAAAGTGCAATAAACTAAATAGTGACTGTTTTCTTTAGCAATAGCTATTTCAAAATCTTGTTCTCAGGACTGAAAAGTGATAGTACCTGGATTCTCAGATAATGCCCTTGGCTTCTGGGCATTAGCTCACTGTCTCTGTAGCTCCCTCCTCCTCCCACCTAGTCACGTGACCCCTGCCGCTCTGAGGCCCTCACCCTCCTCTGGAATGTAAACACACACAGGTCTGACATCTGCATGGGGAAGGTCCAGGAGAAGACTTTCTTTGTCACTCTGACTCCTCCCCGTGTGCACCTCTGTCTGTCTGTGTGCATCTCTGTCCCTCTCGCCTTCCACCTTCTCCCTTCTGCCTGCTCTCACATGGCACTCTCACAACCTCTGGGCACTGAAACCTCGAGTTTGAGTGACCTCACACCAGCCCATCTCACGGACTTTCAGTCAGACTGGCAGGGTGTAATGGAAGCCTGCAGGAAAGCATTTACCAATAGATAAGAATAAAGCATCCTGAGCCATTACAGAAGATCATTTCCATGCACTAAAAGCCATTACTTGATCCATTTGTTTCCCTCCCTCCCCTCCCTTGGGAGATGGATGCTAGAGGAATGTGGCCTGGAGGTGTGCGCCTGAGATGGGTCGCCTGGGCTGATTTGGGGAATTGCCCTCTGGCTGCCCTTCAAAATAAGCTGACTTGTTTAACCAAAGGTCTGCCATGAGAGCTGTGGAGGAAAGCAAGTGTTGTGGATAGAGGTCCACAGGGACAGTGTTTGTGGGTGGTTAGGGCATGACAGTAGCGAAACAAAGACCACACCACCCACTATAATGTACTGTTGCACAAATATTTGCACATGTTAACTGGGGACTTTAGAAGAGCCTCCTTTCCTGGGGAAAAAAAAAAATCTGTGCAGCTGAATTTTCAGACCAGACAATCAGGGAAGGCTGGCAACTCCAGGGTCCCACCGCATTCCTTTTCAATCTACCTTGCTCTATACCCGTGTATACAGCAAAACCTCAGTTAATTGATGGGGAAATCCTCAGGGAAGGAAGCCGTCTGATGGCTTTATAATTATGGGTTTTTTGGGTGGGAAGGGGAAAATGTGTTTTGGTTCAACCTTTGTTATGGGGGGGAAAAAATCTTTCCTAAGTAGGTTAGTATAAACTTTCCTGCCTTAGTAAGTAGAATGTTTGAAGTTGACAGGAGACCTTGCATTGCTCAGGGTCAGTATTCTCAACCTCAGTGTTCATTGTACAGAAGTGTGGGTGGAGAAGACCAAAGAAATAGGCTAAATGTCTGCTGGCTACAAGACATCTCTGGAAGTTGGACATTTGGGCTCATTAGATAATACCCTTGCTATCATTTGCCTCTTTCTACTGGAAGCAGAGTAAGAAAACATAATTCTTGTTAGTCAAGGCTTTGGTTAATTGGTCCTGAGTTATCAGAGGTTTTCCATATATACATATATCTGTGTATATATATGTATAGTATATGTATATATGTATACCATTGTTTCAAAAAATTATACAGTTATACAGTGACCAATCCCCTTAGCTTCACTAATGTGGAATACATTTGGCAACCCAAGAAATATTGCATTTATTTGAATTTTTAAAATGACCTCCCTTTGCATTCTTACCATCACTTCAGTGCAACTTTTTTTTTCCTGCACAGGGACTTCTCTAGAAGGTAGTTCTTTCATAACAGAAGATCAGGCGCCAGCATCTTTCCCTTCCCAGATGGCTGCCTGACTCAGGGATAAAAGGGAAGTCTGATCTAAGGGTCTACTGCTTTATCCTTTGTTCTGCCTGTCCGACAGGAAAAGTTATTACAAACTTTGTAGTTCTGGGTGAGGGGAAAGCTTGAAGACCTGGCAAAGGATGGATCTCTTTGCTTTCTCTTTTTCATTGGTGGTAACCTAGGCTTGAATTTCATGAGATCTGAAAATAATAGCTAGAGAATGCCTCTGCCCCGTGGAAGGTGAGATGTGTAGCAACCCATGAAACTAACAGATCCATCCTCTTGTTGAGTCTGACCAAATCTAGGCTGTGGGTATAGGCAGTAGAGCACCCATAATCCAGCTGCCTCTTCGGAGAAACACCTGGGTCTGAGCTGAACCGTGCGCTCATTCTCCATCTCCCTGGCAGTGTGTTAGACCCATGGGAGACAGCTCCAGCCTCGCCTCCTGCAACTGACTGTATGTGCTCTGCCTAGACGCGGGTGGGAGGGGTTCCTGTTATCTGAGATGGAGCAACTGAGATGGAGCAGGGGTGCTTGCCCTCTCTCAACACTCCCAGCATTAGTGTATGTACTAGCAGTCAGCTAGTAGAATCTCGTAAACCAGACGTATCATGG